TATAATATAATATAATATAATATAATATAATATAATATAATATAATAAATATAATAAATATAATAAATATAATATAATATAATATAATATAATACTTGAATTAATTCTTCGTGACTGTCAGACAATGTATTTTGAGCACATCACACTCTCCCCATCCCCGATTCCTTTAGTTTATCACATCTCAGAAGTGGTTTTCTTACAGTAAATGCTGACTTTCTGTGGATTCAAGAATATAAGAAAAATAATCATTATCTTTAATATGCTAACCAACAAATCTCTGTAGAAGTGAATTTTCTCCTCCTGTTAAAAAGGCTCAGTAACAACCTTTTAGCTTAAATATAATAATTTTACTTTACTGTTAGAATAGCTGTAAGAATTATAGCTAGACCTGGCATTATATAGTAAATGCAAAAAATATGTGAACTGAGAATAAAATAATGAAACAGCTTTCACCCTTGAAGACTTTGTGCCTTATGGTATCAGTAACTGATGTCTGACTTGAATGAACTGCTGTAACAAAGAGTGTGAGAATTATTTCACTATAAAAATGGTGTGCTATTACTTATAGCAACAGCAGTGTTATGGTTTGAACTTGAAATCTCCATCAAAGGGTCATGTGATGAAATAATGGTCCTAGTCTACTGGAACTTGCTTGGGGAGTGACCAAATCTTAAGAGGTGAGTCTAGCTGGAGGTGATATGTCAATGGGGTACTCTTTTGAAAGGTATCCTGTCTTTGGTGCCTTGCTGTCTCTGTTCCCCAGAAACCAAGTTCCTGCCAGCATGACGTTCTGCATGGCTTCCAGCCCAAGGCAGCCAATCTTTGACCAAAACCTCTAAAAGTGTGGGCCAAAAGAAATCTTTATCCCTCTTAAACTGTTTCTCCCAAGTATTTGTCAAAATGACAAACTAGCTGCATATAAGAGCAGAAAAAGGAAAAGCACAGACTAGAGTTTGTGAAACTGATTAAAACATTTCATGCCTCTTCATCTCCACATTAGTATGTGTGCTGGCGGAGGCAGCAAGACAAAAGACTTCAGATATTTCTCAGGTATTATATTCCAGACAGCTGTCCGCAAACCTTGCAAAGACCGTGATTATGGTCTCGCATTTTCCACTACTTTCCAATGTGGAACACTGAGATATGGAGGTGACTTTACATAATACACAGATCAATGCATTTTATTTTTATAAATAATTTCAAGCTCATAAAGAAAATAAAAATACCCAACATAGCATACCAGTCATTTCATAGATACTATGGCTTAGGTCCATGACACTAATGTAAATTAGTGTGGAGGAAAACATTAAAGAAATCGTAGTAGAGTTGAAGGGTGTCTGAGAGACAAAGATACAATAAATCATTTGCAGCTGTGCTGACCGAGATGTTGCCCATTCACACTTCACTCTAGAAGTCTCTGATGGACACCAGCACTAGGCATTCAATCTGATACCTGTACTGACTGCTTGCCAGCCCACGGAGAATGGAGTTCTTGCTTGGATGACATACATGGTGACGGGGCTGTGGTTATCAGGTCCAGGTCTCCACGACAGCTGGGCAGTGGTATCTGTGATTTCATCTATTGTCACAGCCTCAGGAGGACCTGGAGGGCCTGGGTAAGAGCAATATTCAGAATTGGACAGCGTACTCAAATGTTCAAGTATATGATCTACTCACTTATATTGGGTACAGGTTACTCAATCATTTAACTACGTACATATCCATGCCATAATTTTCTTTTTGAAATCATAGCAATGAACTGACACATGGCCCTTCCTTACAGACTCACAGAATATAGGGGAAAACCCACAAACAGACAAAGTGTTATAATGGAACGTCTTGATATTAGGAGAGAATTTTGGGGCACCGTTGGCCGACTTCCCTGCATCAAGCAGCTAGATGTGCTTACATGCAAAGGGACATCTATGAAAATGGCCAGTTCTCAAGTGTCATAGAACCATCCTCCTCTTCCTAGTAATTCCAAAACTGAGCTGGAGTTTAACGTCCCTCTGGAGCAGTTTCTATGAGTCATACCTATATTTTTCTACTTATACTCTTGATGGTTATTTCTTCTCTACTTCTAGGTACCTAAACCATTGAGAAGGGAAGAAATCACACCTAAATGAAGGTCCGGAGATCATACACAGTGGGATGGAAAACAACTAGGGGGTAAAACAACAACAGGGTCAGAGTAAAGGCCCAGAATATTCCTGGTTGCCAGGATTAGAAGCTGTGACTAGACAGTTAAATGCATTTTTTAAAAGTGTAGCTTAAATGACAAATGATCACCTTGGAATAGAAGGTGAGGATGAGAGGACAGGGTGACAAACTCCATACTTATTGGACAGACGTAAGGATATATTCCTAAGAGGTTGCCCCCCCCCCCCCAATTTAGCAATCAAATGGGTTCTCAAAAGATTCCTGTCTGTGCCACAGGGACAAGGTAAAAAGGACACCTTTCACAGAGTGGTGAAAAGTTAAGGGGAATTCCTGAGGTAAGATTTTGTTCTAAAATTCACCCCTTCACTTTTATGCTACACCCTGTATTCTATCTGCTTCTTTAAAAATCACTTTTTTAGATTCAAAGGTGAGGCTAAATTTATCTTGTCTTCCTCCTACCCCTGCTCCTGAATAAAACGTCTGCAAATGTGTGTGTTGGAACTGATTAATTTTCCATGGTGACATTTCGGCACGGCAGTCTAATGCCACCTAGACAGACCTGAGGTAACCTTTGGTCTTCACTCCTAATAACCAGGTAAAGCCCAGAAGACAATATATGCCCCCTTTGTATCTGGCCAGCTTTCTCCTTCTAGTATTTCTATCCTTATTCTTTATGAATGTTGTTCGGGAGCCTTTAGAATCTCCCACAGACAGAAAAGTGTTGCCTTTCAACTGCTCAAAGAATTAAATCAATAAGAAGTATCTGAGCCCCTTTGTGGCCACTGTGTAGAAAGAAAATGAAGGGGTGCCATGGGCCTGTCGCTGGAGGGAGGAAGGTGTTTTCAGGGCTTCTCTCATTCTTCATCTTTCTGTCACCCAACCCCACTAGTGCATAGCTGTGCTCTTGGTGAGGGTATACTTTGTTTTAGGGAAACTGGACCCATCTTTCAAAACAACAAAAATGTCCGCTGAGCACAGTGTAAGATGTTTTTTGTCACACCACACGTATAACTATTTTGATGCTGGTGTCTGCTTCTTGCTCAGGAAAGGGAGGCCTTGCTAGTGGCCATGAGATGGTTGCAGATTAAGCAAAGCAGGCAACAGAGAATTAAAGGTTCCAGAGTCAACATACAAACCAGCACTCGTTCCAAATACATAAAGCTCTTTTTTCCCCCCAAAGGGAATGTGAGTTTAATCTTTTATTTTCTTTCTTTTTTTTTTTAAAAAAAAATTAGTTATTACAATTTTTCACTTTGTATCCCAGCTGTAGCCCTCTCCCTCATGCCCTCCCAGTCCCACCCTGCCTCCCTTTTCTCCTCCCATGTCCCTCCCCTAGTCCTCTTCTCCTTCCATCTGACCCTAGCCTATCAGGTCTCATTAGGACTAGCTGCATTGTTTTCCTCTGTGGACTGGTGAGGCTGCTTCCCCCTCAGGAGGAGGTGTTCAAAGAGCCAGCCACTGAGTTCATGTCAGAGATAGCCCCTGTTCCCCTTACTAGGGTACCCACTTGAACACTGAGCTGCCATGGGCTATGTCTGTGCAGGGTTCTAGGTTGTTTCCATCAATAGTCCTTGGTTGGAATATCAGTCCCAGAAAAAACCCCTGGGCCAAGATTTTTTGGTTCTGTTGTTCTCCTTGTGGAGCTCCAGTCGGCTCCAGGTCTTTCTATCTCCCTCTTTTTTCATATGATTCACTGCACTCTGCCCAAAGTTTGGCTGAGTCTCAACATTTGCTCTGATACCCTGCTGGGTAGAGTCATACACAGTGGGATGGAAAACAACTAGGGGGCAAAACAACAACAGGGTCTGTGGTAGGCTCCTGTCTTGTTTCCTGTATTCTCCCTCTTCCGATCTCTATTCAGTTTGCCTTTCTGAATGAGGATTGAGTGTCTTACCTAGGTCCCTTAACAGAGGAATGGATACAGAAATTGTGGTACATTTACACAGTGGAATACTACTCAGCAATTAAAAACAAGGAAATCATGAAATTTGCAGGCAAATGGTGGGAACTAGAAAAGATCATCCTGAATGAGGTATCCCAGAAGCAGAAAGACACACAGGGTACACATTCACATATAAGTGTGTATTAGACATATAATATAGGATAAACATACTAAAATCTGTACATCTAACGAAGCTACAAAAAGCTCTTAAGGGCAGTTAAGTGCTTTTCTGTCTCCCCACTGCAATGTGCATCAAAGATGCAAGGACAGAGCAGGAGGAGATAAAATGAAAGGCTATGGCTTTAAGTGTCATATTAATTTATTGGCCTTATTAACTGATTGGGCTACACTTTCTTTTAGACTGCATTTGCAAATTCCTCTTGGTATCCAGTGCTATTTTCTGTGAAATGAAGTATACAATATCATTTAAGAACTTCAAGTGCTACTGATTTAAATATTTATTAGTCTAATTTATTGGTTTTTAAACTGCTGATCTGAACATTATCCTAATTAAATAGAGGATAAATTACCAGCAGCAGAATTCTTTTGTCCCTATGGGGAGAACACGTCAGCTCTGGTGTGTTTTTAAAATGGAAATTAGCACATTTCTATAAGTTATTCTGTGGGCAGAGCTACCTACGTTGAAAATATAATTTTTAATATTTTATACGGCCTTTATCTTTTTATGTATTTTTATTTATATATTTATTTACTACAATTTATTCACTTTCTATCCCTGCTGCAGTTCCCTCCCTTGTATTCTCCCAGTCCTACCTACTCTCCCTCTTTTTCCCCTATGCCCTTTCCCTAGTCCTCTGATAGGGAAGGACATCCTCCCCTTCTATTTGACCCTAGCCTATTAAGTCTCATCAGGGATGACTGCATCATCTTCCTTTGTGGCCTGGCAAGGCTGCACACCTCAGGGAGGGGTGATCAGAGAGCCTGCCACTGTATTCATGTCAGAGACAGCTCCTGTACCCCTTACTAGGGAACCCACCTGGAAACTGAGCAGCCAATGGGCTTCCTTTGAACAGAGGGTCTAGGTCCCCTCTATGCCTGGTCCTTAGTTGGAGGATCAGTCTCTGCAGGGCCCCCTGGGCCCAGGTATTTTGGCTCTGTCGTTCTCCTTGTGGAGTTCCTGTCCCCTCCAGGTCTTTATATCTCCCTCTTCTTCCATAAGGATTCCAGCACTCTGCCCAAAGTTTGGCAATGAATCTCAGTATCCCCTTCAATACCCTGGTGGGTAGCATCATCAGAGGTCCTCCGTGGAAGTCTGCTGTCCTGTTCCTTGTCTTCTCCTGCTCCCGATGTCTCTTCTGTTTGCCCTTCTGAGTGAGGATTAAACATCTTCCCTAGGGTCCTCCTTGTTGTCTAGTTTCTTTAGGGCTATAGACTTTAATATATTTAGCCTATATTATATGGCTAATATCCACTTAGAAGTGAATATATATCATTTGTGTTTTTCTGTTTCTAAGTTACCTCACTCAGGATGATCTTTTCTAGTTCCCACCCTTTGCCTGAAAATTTCATGTTTTCCTTGCTTTTAATTGCTTAGTTCTATTCCATTGTGTACATGTACCACACTTTCTTTATCCATTCCTCCACTGAGGGACATCTAGGTTATTTCCAGATTTTGGCTACTACAAATAGAGCTGCTATGAACATGGTTGAGCAAATGTCCTTATTGAATGGTGGGGCATCTTTTGGGTATATGCCTAGGAGTGGTATAGCTAGATCTTGAGGTAGCGCTATTCCTAATTTTCTGAGGAAGCACCAGATTGATTTCTAAAGTGGTTGTACAAGCCATTCTGATGGGTGTAAGATGAAATCTCAAGGTCATTTTGATTTGCATTTCCTGAATGCCTAAGGATGTTGGGCATTTCTTTAAGAGTTTCTCTGCCACTCGATATTCCTTGTTGAGAATTCTCTCTTTAGTTCTGTACCCCATGTTTTAATTGGTGTGTTGGTATTTAACTTCTTCAGTTCTTTATATATACTAGATATTAGCCCTCTGTCAGAGATAGGGTTGGTGAGGAGCCTTTCCTAATCTGTAGGCTGTTGTTTTGTTCTGATGACAGTCTCCTTTACTTTACAGAAGCTTTTCAGTTTCATGAGGTCCCATTTATTGATTGTTGATCTTAGAGCCTGTGCTGTTGGTGTTCTGTTCAGGAAGTTGTCTCCTGTGCCAAAGAGGCCAAGGCTTTTCCTCACTTTTTCTTCTAACAGATTTAGTGTGTTGGCTTTATGTTGAGGTCTTTGATCCACTTGGACTTTAATTTTGTGCAGGGTGGTAAATATGGCTCTATTTTCATTTTTCTACATGTAGACATCTAATAAGACCAGCAACAGTTGTTAAAGATGCTGTCTTTTTTTCCATTATATGGGTTTGGCTTTTTTTGTCAAAAATTAATTTTCTGTAGGTGTGTGGGTTTATTTCTGGGTCTTCTATTTGATTCCTTTGGTCCACCAGTCTGTTTCTATGTCAATACCATGCTGGTTTTATTACTGGTGCTCTATAGTATAGCTTGACATCTGGGATGGTGATACCTCCAGAAGAGCTTTTATTGTATAGGATTGTTTTAGCTAATCTGGAATTTTTGTTTTCCATATGAAATTAAGGATTTTTCTTTCAAGGTCTATAAAAAATTGTGTTGGTATTTTGATGGGAATTGGATTTAATCTGTAGATTGATTTTGGTAGGATAGTATGGCCTTTATCTTCATGGACCACTTTTTTTTTTTGTGGCAATTAACAGGTAACTAAGGTAGTCATAATGGGAATGAAATTCATCTTTAACCTCTTTTGACAATTAAGTTGCTAATTCCTGTGCGTTTCACCCTCAGATCTGCCCTGTGCCATACAGTATTATTTTCTATTGATTCTGAAAATACTTTATTGCCTGTGCACTCGGATTCACTCTGCCTCCAATCCTGAGCTAGGACTTATGTTTTAGGCTCAGGTGGCTGGCCAGAATTTCCCATTCCCAACAGTTAGAAATTCTGGTTAATGGTTGGAGGTGTGTGATTATGTTGATGCTCTGGGTTGGCCTCTGGTTGTTTGCTTCTTTGTTTAGCAGAGTTGGGTGAGGAGCCCAAGGCTTCAGTGCATGCTAGGCACATGCCACATCATACCTTCAGCCTGATTTGTTTGTTTGTTTGTTTATTTATTTGATGGTTTAAAGATAGCTCAGGCAAGAACACTGGCTGCTCTTGTGCAGTACCCCAGTTCTCATCTCAGCATCTTTATGGTGGCTCACAACCATCTGTTACCCTAGTTGCTGGGGATCTACCATCCTCTTCTGGTCTCTGTGAGTACTGCATGCATACATGGCACATAGATTCAGGTAAATAAAATACCCATTCCCGAGAAAAAATGGCAACTCCCCTTTTCTTTTTTGCTGTTGGTTGGGCATGGTGGCACATGTCTGTAATTCCAGCATGGAGGCTGTGGCAAGAAGACTGTAAGTTTGAAGGAAGCTTCTCTTAAAAAAACAAAACAAAACAATAAAAAAAAAACCCAAACAAACAAAAACAAACAAAACAACTTAAAAACCCTAAATTTCTTTCATAAATGGATTTGAAGCCTGGAATTTTCTCCAGCTGGTGGACTCATTTAGTGCAGCCATAGCTGCAAGGCTTAGCTTAGTTCATGTCAGCACAGTACTAAAAGTATCCCCAAGGTCAATGTTCTGTATGAAATGCCCTGCTCCTCACTGCATTCCAAGTGAGTTAGGGTTTCCTTATCAAGTCAGATTTTAAAATTAAGGCAGCTCTCTTAGAACATGGTCCAGGAGTGGAGTTGTGTTTGTGTTAGGAGAATGCTGAGTTCTTGTGAGAACAAAAACTCTAGGAAAACAAGAAAGGAGCCTTGTGACCCTAGCTTCCTCAGAACACAATGTTGTCCTTGGAATGTGTTTGCATGCTCCTCCCAGGCGCAGAGCATAGGAATGAGTTTACTTCTGCTTGCTCATTACTGCTTACTGGTGTTACTCAATTAAATGTTTATATGTCTCCATGGAAACACGTTTCTACATGTGTGGCTTGTGCTTGTGATGGTACATGGCTTGAACCCATGAGAACTTTACTCAGGTGACCTTTCCTCAACCCTCAGAGTGTGAGTTGTGTGATGCTCTGAATAAAGTTGGCTATTGTTTGAGACCTTCAGCCTGACACATTTACCAGCTCCATTCTCCCAGGTCCTACTGCCTCCAGGGTGGCAAACATGGCCCTACTAATTTTAGGGGGAAAATGAGTTTTCTTAAGCCCCTAATGTTATGCCATTAGCCTAAAACACTAATGTTGTTCAGTCCAGATGAAACACAAAATGGCCAGTTGAATCACTTTTTAAACCGATTGAACGTTACTCTAGAACAACATATCAACTCAGTAGTCATACATGGGACACTCACTGGGAGTTCTTTTCAGTATGAGAACTGTTCCCCTCAGTGAACTTTCTGGTTATCTATTATGAAAAGTACATGTTCAGGAAACATTTATAAACTGTTAACCTCTGTGTACCATGGTTAGCTGATGCAGCTTTAACAGAATTCAGAACCATTGAGGCTGTATGTTGCTATGGTAGAGGACATACCATAGAAATATTGAAAGAATAAAAAGCAAGCCATAAGAAACAAAAACGAAAGTCTAGTAGTACCTCTTACAATCAGGTCTGCAGCAGCCGAGAGTTTGTCCACACTTGTTTGGACCATGCAGACATATTTCCCAGCATGCTTCAGTTGGATGTTTCGGATCATCAAATCACCAGCTGAATCCTGCTGATAAAGTAGAGGAAAGTGGATACAATTACTTTTTAATGAGCCCTAAATATCATTATCACATGAAGGACACTATGACTAATGGATTTATTTTACACCGGCTGATGAAAACATTAGTGATGCAAGCTATGGCTATTAAAACTATGTGAGCCAGCCGGAGAGATAAGAAAACCAGTGTTTTCTAAGGGGTTATCTTCCACAGGAGCTCAGGTGTCTGGATCCGTCCGTTACTCCTGCTGGCATCACTCAACGTTACACAATGTGGCTTTTGATAGAGCCTTATGGGTCCCCTTCAGCATCCTCTCAGCCTATTGCCTGCACTAGCATCCTGAGACTTTCAGATTCTATATTTGGAAAAAGGAGGCACACCTACATTTAGAGGCATCTGCACTTTTCTGCAGAAAATCCTGTCTCGCAGCCAGCATTTTGATTGCTCTCGGGTTTGAATTAAAGGATTATGAAGGCCAGGCTCTCTAAGGAAATCTTGAATCATCCAGTGTGGAATAGTGCTAATTTGTTTTCCAAATGCCAAATGCGTGTTTGATTAGCAGATGAATGGGACTAATTATATCCTAGTATGTATGCCTATATGCCCCACAACCATTTCTACACTGTTCACCAGAAAATCACTTTTCATAAATACTAGACTGTCCCACCTTAGAGTTTGGTTTCACTCCTTGGATACTGAGAAGCTTGGAGAATTAGGAAGTGACCACTGCGTGGGTTAGACTAGACATGCTTCTCTTCTTTCTGAAGTTGACACAGACTTTGAAGTTGCTATTTCTCCAAAGAGTACTGATAATGAGTGACTCTTTGTAGGATTTTTGTATGTAACCAGGACCTTGCCAGTGCCTTAGTTATGTTGACAGACTTAATTCTTACATGTTCTATAGGGCAGGTACTCTTGTTATCTTATTTACAGAAGAGAAAACTCTAACACAAAGAGGCTAGGCAACTTTCTATAAGCCATGTACACAGTAAAGGACAGTCAGTTCCAATCTCTGTTGTTTTCTGTGTGTATGTATGTATACATATGTATACATGTTTGTATATAGGATGGTGCACGTATGTTGTAGGTACATGGGGAGAAGAGTACAACCTCAGGTGTCATTGTCTACATTGTCATTTGACACAGGGTCTCTTACTGGCCTAAAACTTGCCAAGTAGATGAGGCTGGCTGGCAAACCAGCCCAGGGAATCTGCCTGTCTCTGTCTCCTAAGCACTGGGATTCCAAGCATGTGCCAACGTGCCTGAGTCTTATATGAGTTCTGGGGTTTGAATTTAGGTCCTGTGCTCAGCAGACTGGCACTTTACCAACTCAGCCATATCCCAGCTCCAACCCTTTTTATTTTTGATAATTACAGATACCTTACTCCAGGGAAGAACTACTCCTACTCTGGGAAAACAAGTCCTCAGCTTCTTCATTTGTTTCAGTAAAACAGGTCACACTCACATTTCCCGGGGACAAGGCAAAAGTTAGGAGTGCCAATCATTGCCACAAGGATTAGAAGAAAAGAGACAGGAGTATGTCTTGGAGGCAAAGCCACAGTTGGGAGACTTAGTTGTTTGGGGCTCATCTCTGCTGTGTGATTTCATCTAAGTCTCTTAATCTGTCTGCCTCTCAGTTTATTGACCTTTCAAAGAAGGATGCCCTCCCTACTGTGCGATGTTGTGAGAATCAAATGAGACTGGATATCTATGTGAAATCCTTTCACAGACTATGAAGCACAGAGAAAATTTAAACTTGTCTTATTGATAGCTGTGATCAATTTTCTTTGTGAAATAATCATGTCAAAGACCTTAAATCTAATTCCAGAAGAGCTAAGATGGATTCTTTTTATCTGAAAGTTATTTTATTTATAATACTTGTGTTCTTACTTATTTATAACACTTTTATTCTCATCTTTTTCCACTATATACTGATCACATCTCAGTATATAAAAAATGGGAAAATAATTACTCATCTATTTCATAGGGTTTCTGTGAGGATTGGGGAGCTAATATATAATAATAAGATGATTGATACATGAATAGGTGCCTTGCAAGTAAAAGGAATCAGCATTATGAAGCTGAGATAGTTCACATGTTAAGAGAGATTTAAATAGAAACTAAGCCTTATAATGGAAATGTTTGCAGAAGGGTGGGAAATAGTTGATTTTAAGGTGGAAGACATATTTACTTTGAAATGGAAGCCATATTGACTTTAAGGTAGAAGCCATATTGATTTTAAGTAGGAGCTATGTTGATTTTAAGGTGGAAGCTATATTGGCATTAAGGAAATATTTTTTACCCTATCTCAGTGATTCATTCTATTTACTAGGGGATGAGTATCAAAGAAACTTACTCTAGCCTACTTCAGCAAATAGCAACCTACTAACACAATTCCCATAGTTCTGCAACTAAAACTTGTGTTCTAGCTACTCTAAAAGTTTAGTGAGATTTATAGCTTTCAAATCAAACAAAAAAAATTAAAGGATTGAAGTAAGAGTCTCACAGAATGAGGCTGTTCTTTCCCTTAGAAATATCCAGATCAAAGGGCTACTGACATCTACATTTAATGTTCTTACCAAACAGGATAAAAGAGTAGCAGAGTATTTAATTCCTACTCCAACTGTGGTCTCTGTTCCATTTATGAAAGAGCACTTGAGAGCAGAGGAGAACAACAAAACAACTTTCCTAAAAACTCAATAGGATGAATCTGTTCACTATTCTTTCATTATGCTGATTTGGGAAGCACCAATTTAAGTGGGTCTAAGTTTAGAATGACACCTGGTTTCCTCCTCAACTATGAAATACTAAAAGTGTCACCATGGTTGACACTGGTGACTGCTTCCCTCTATTTGTTTGTAGCAATAGGGGATTGTTGATCCTGGTGACAATACTAGTTGCACAAAGGAGGAAGGTATTTCTTGTAAGAAAAGCAAATGAAAGCAATTATTTTGGTTTTTAATGCTTGATTTTTTTTTTAATTTGATACAAGGTCTTTCTACTAAAACCAGGATAGCCTATACCTCAATATGTAGCCCAAGGTTGTTTCAAACTCAGACCCCTTTGCTTCTGTTTCTGGAATGCTGGGGTTACAGGTATGTGCCTTGAAAAGCAACCTGGATTCTTTGCTCCATTAAGACTTTTTTTTTCCTGCATCTCAGTTCAAATGGTGCATAATGGCTATTAGGTTTGATTGGCCAGGGATCTTTTCAGTCATTAATCATCAATCCATGCTAATTAGTTACTGCTTATGAAATTCTCAGAGATTGCACTTTTTTTGTTGACTTTGCCCACAAAGTTGGTTTTAATGTGAAAATCAACTATCCAGTTTAGTTGATAAAGAGTATACTGGTATTCTCAAGGTATACTGCTGTTGTTATAATTAACATTATCACCCTTCTTTCAGAGAACACAGCTATTAGAATTTTAAACTTTTTGTATTTGTGTTTGTGTGTGTAACATGTATGGGTCTAGGTATATATTTTTAGACTTTGAAGTATTTGATATCATCAATATTTCAATGAAGTAGACTCTCTCTCACTAAACTGGGCTACATGAATGGTCCAGAATGGTTAATGACGGCAATGTCATCCAATCTTACTCAACCAATATTCCAAGAGAGAATCCCTAATGAGCAGAGACTTCCACTAGTGTAATAAATTGACTTCTCTCCTGTGTATCCAAGTGGATACATCATGCAGATATCCTTGGGGGATGTGTTCTGCAGCTCAAACTGTAACAAACTAAGCATGCATGTTATGGGCACAATTATTACAATAGTTAGGTCAAAAACATATTCCCAATATATCTTACAGAAGGAGTTGTTAGCTTCAGGGCATTTATAATCCACTTAAAAGAGTACACATGGGATGAGATAGGCAAATCATTAAATCATATTTCTACGGCAGCTGAGGGAGAGTAGGGTCTTTCAAATCATAGCCCCCGTTGGACACAAATTGCTTATAGATATAACTATCTCTTGGCACATATTTAATAATAATATATATATTGTCCTGAAAAATAAGGCATTTCAAAAATTGAAGCATTTGGATTCAGACTCCATGGAAATGATAAACCGCCTCAGTGTATTTGCAGAATCAAGAAAGGAAGCGACAATTTCATGATGATGAGTCTCCCATAGGAGCACAGAGAGATACAATAACAGCCTAAAAGTATATAAGGAAACTATCCTTAAGATATTTTATTAACTATTTAGTGGTATATTTTATGATATGTGTGGAGAGCTTGGGCTAAGTTCAAAGCTGAGTCCTTTTATTTAGTAGATATGGAGAAAAAGCACTTCATGGAACTCCTATGAGCCTCAGTTTCCTTCTTTACACACAGTGGAATTAACTAACCTGACACCAGGTTTGCTATCTATGTATGACATCATTTAACAAACGATGCGGAAATTAACCAAGAATTCTGCGAAATAAGATGCTTCAACAATGACTTCACATTGGTTTCTAAGTTAACCTAAACAAATTAATTTGGGTTAGATTGTAGAACTTTTGGTAGGCTGTTTCCTGTAGATAGTATGACATTAATACTTACCCCTCCGACTCTTTCAAAATGGTCTCCATCTTTGTCAAAGTCTATCAAGTGCCCATTAAACAACCAAGTAAACACAATGTCCAGGGAGTGATCATGTGTCACCTGGCAGGGAAGAACAATGCTTTCTCCCACAGTGACATCCATGCTGGAAGGGGGAACCATCACCTTTGTTGGGTCTGGAATTTGAAAGGAGACAACAAGGGCTGTGAATGCAGCTCAGCAGTAAAGCACTCTCCTTGCACGCATGTGTAAAGCCCCAAATTCCATCTCCAGTACCATCAAACTTCCTCCAAACAAACAAACAAACAAACAAACAAACAACAACAACACAGTTTGTGAGTTTGTGTGGCAACATAGTTTAGAACCCCACAGAACATACAACAGAAGAAAAGTAGTTGGTTTGGTAATCTTTCTAAAGCTGAGATCACCCAGTTTCAGTTAGCCAAGAGGCCCAGATTTAGACAGAAGGTTATTTTCAATATAAAAAGATGAAGCTGTTAGCTATGTGCCTTTCACAGAGCAATAGAATTCTGCCCAGAAGCCATGAGGTGAGATCTCTGTAGACAAGCACACAAGGGCCCACTGGATGGCAGACTACTCTGAAAGATCCTGTTTTTTTAAAAGGTTTGTGTATCTTCCCAGTCTCACTAACATCTGTATCTCTGTTCCATACTCTCAGTTCCAAAGGCAACTCCTCTGTTCTGGAGATTAGACAACAGCCAGCATTTCTCAACTTGTAAAGCCAGTTTCCTCGCCCTTACCCCCTCCACCACCAAAAGGAGCTCTTTATCACTGGCAGAAGGGAATAATGGCTATTTGTGGTGTCCGTTAGCATATCAAAGTGCATGCTGGCCTCCAGGTTTCCTCACTATCACAAGTACCTGTTCCTCATTTCAGAGTTCATGCTAGCCCCGCCTCTACTTGAAACTGTTCTAGCTCATGGGCTTCCCTCCCCCAGCTACTCAGTCTTCTTTTAACTCTGTTACTTCTGCTCTGCTCCCTCTCCCTTGTCTTCACTGTCTTTGTCTTCTCTGTGTCTTTGTCTTCTCTGTGTCTCCCTCCTCCCCCTCTCTCTGCTCCTGGTTCTCTCAGTTCCTGTCTCCTGGCCATACTTAGTTTACCATTTTCTCTCTTTGTTCTGAACTCTTCAAGATGCCTCTAGTGGTTCTCTTTCCCATGCCTAAAATAAAAATCTTCCCTTTCACCGTATCACACAGCAGTCATGCCATCAGTTTATGTACACATAAGCAGAAAAATCCAGGTAATTTTTTTTTTTTTCAAGACAGGGTTTCTCTGTGTAGCCTTTGCTGTTCTGGACTTGCTTTGTAAAACAGGCTGGCCTCGAACTCACAGAGATCCTCCTGCCTCTGCCTCCCTCAGTGCTGAGATTACAGGCATTCACCACAGAGCCCGGCTAAATCCATGTAATTTGAAGCTTGCTTGACTTTTGTTTGTTTGTTTGTTTTTGTTGTTGTAAAGGTGACTAGTGTTGTAGTGTAGAAAAATGAGAGGAAAATTCAAAGACAGTAATGAGTGGAAGCAAAAAATTTCCACACAAAGCAAAATCAAACCATATCCATATAAAACTTCTGTTTTTTCCTTGATGTAAGCAGAGAACTGAGAAGTAGTGAAACTATTGTTTTCATTTATGTAGAATTTCCCTCCATCTTTAGACTTATTGGTTTTTTTTTTTTTTCCAGTTGTTTTGTTTTATATCACTGTAAACATGGTAAAGGAAACCTCCCTCCCCTCTCCCCCAAAACCAGGGCCTTAAATCATGTTCAGGGCTTCAAGAGAGCTGCTGCCCATGTGATTCAGAAAGTAGCTAACCCGTGTCACATATTCTGGAGACAGGTCACAAAAAAACAGGTAATTTGACTTAATGTCCCACATTACAGGGTATTTTTTTTTTGTTTGTTTTGTTTTGTTTCTTTAAGGCAGTTTCTGGGCCTGGCTTCACCAGATCCTCCTGACTCCCTACACTTCACAACAAAAATTAATTCTTAGCTCCTGCACAGTGCTTTCCTGACCCCTTTCTGCTGAGCCTCAGGGTTGGGAGCACCAACCTCTCAAACTAGTGGTCTGTCCCTGTCTTTCTAAGGTTGAACTGAGACTATTGCTTTCTCCTCCTCTAATGATTTATTTCTTACACAGAGTGGAGACACAGCAAGGCATTCCTTCCAACTCGTATCTTCCAACTTATATGTGTTTGCTTATATCTTTATCGACCTATTTCATAATCTATGTAATTTATAGCTTGTCACTTTGAAATTAGTAGACATCTTATGGAATTTTATTACAAATATAAGCACAATGGTAATGAATGGCATGAAGAAGGTGAATTCTGTACATTGCTTCTCCAAAATAAAAAAGACTAGTTTCAAGCTGAAGCGATGGCTCAGTGCTTAGGAGCGTGTTCTCTTCCAGAGGACCTAAGTTTGTTCTAACATCCTTATCAGACAGGTTACAACCCTTTGTAATTCTACCTCCAGGGGTATCTGCTACATCTGTCCACACCTACACAGACATGCCTACAATATTAAAATAAACATTTGTAAAGGAGTATTCGTTTCCAATGTTACCATTTACATATTTTGTTTGTCGGTTGGTTGGTTTGTTTGTTTTAACTAGGATGGATCAAGCTTGCTTAGCACAAGTTTGTCAACTCTCAACCCACAATAGTTCTTTACAATGCTACATGGTTTCATAAATGCTATCAGAGGGTACAACGGTCGCAAGCAATATGACCTCCACATAGTGGCCATGTCCATGCCTAGTAAATGGAATCTCAATTCAGTCACACTTCTCAAAAATCCTCACAGTAAAACAAAGTAATAATTGCAAACAAGATTAAATCAAAACTACCACCATCAAGAAAGGCAACAAACAGAGCATAAATTAAATATTGTCCATATTCAAAGGACTCTGTTTTAGCCTGTGAGACATATACCTGTTTATCAAAAGTACTGCTTGAATTACAATCTGTGGTAGGAAGTCATATTTCATGGGAGACTCCTTCCCATGAGTCAATAATTGTATATATTTATGGGGTATAATGTGAGTTTTCTTTGTTTTAATATACATGTTTATGTTTTTAAAATTTATACACTATATTTTGATTATGGTTTTTTTTCCCGCCAACTCCTTCCAGAACTTTCCTGCCTCCCTATCCACTCAGCTTTATGTTCTTTCTCTCTTTCTTTCTAAATAAAAAATAAAAATCAAACAAGCAAGTCCACCAAAGCACCAAAACAAAAATCCAAACAAACAAGCAAAGGACCAACAAGACACAAACTGTGTAAACAAAGTACAATGAAATGGAAAAGTCCACAAAAACAAAACAAAACACGGAGTTTGTTTTGTGATGGCCAGCTACTCCTGGCCACGGGTCCTGCTGTAGTGTTGATATCCTCCATTGGAGAAAATTGATTTTCCATTTGACAGAAGGTATCATTTGCAAATAAGTTTTTAGTTAGAGGTGGGAACCCATGTCTGCTCTCCACTTTCTGCTAGGACCATGCCTGGCTTAGACCTGTGCTGGCTTTGTGCAATATACTGGTACACATATAAGTGTGTGTTTAAAAATTTCATTATCTATGGAGGAGGCTAATAGAGTGATAAGAATCATTCCTAAGGCCCTTAGCACTGTTAAGCCCTCTACATGATTCATTTCACTTACTCCTAAGAGATACCATTATTATCTCTGTCTAATAGACAAGAATATTGATGACCAAAAGAGGTTAGTAAACTGTGGGTTTTACTATCCTGCTTTCCTTCATGTAGCTGAGAACATGCACAAGTCTTTCAGCCCTCAAGCCTAAGGGCATAAGACAACAATTCACACTCTTTATTATGTGCAGTCAACTGAAGATATTTAAGTGCAGAAAGGATTTTAAGAGTTTCTGCCATAGGATACAAATAGTACCGTAAAAGAAATGAACTTATTGTTACAAGTAGATAACACATAGGGTTTCCTTAAATGCTTCCTCTAGTGGTAAGAGTACACACCAGACTTAGAAGGCTCAAGTGTCCAGGTTGAAGTCCTTAAAACTATCATTCCCTGACATTTGGGTCATCAGCAAGGAGTCTGCACATATTCCAAAATCTACATGCATTTGAAATTATATTGTTTCCTTTGTATAACTTCTCTCATTTTGTGTTAGAAATTGAACCCATGGCTTCCCATACCTTGTAAGCACCTAATCACATCCCCAGCACATTCAGGGATCTGGGACAGATTTTTATTAGTGAAACTCTAATGCCTGTTAACCAAGGACCAGTGGGGTTTCTCACATAAAGGATCATGCTGGCCAAGTTGTAGTACTGACAACAGCTAATTCATTAATTTAGTGCTTGTTGCCAATTCATGCTCTGAGCTCTGAAGTAGCAACAATCAATGCAAAGTAAGTCATGCATGTCCACATACCAGAGAGGTCTCCCAGGGACTAGGGAAGATTAAACTCCGGAGCTGGAAAACCTCATTAGGTCCTTGGTTTTATCAGTGTTTGCTTCTTCAGCACTCTTGTTTACTGTGTTATGACTTCTGATGCTTTTACTTGATTAATTTCTTTGAATTTGAAACTGCTGTACACAAATAAACAGATGGCTTCTTGCGAAAACAAACTGTCTCCCTCCCTTTGGTTTTAATTCATCAAGATCACGAAGGACCTGTATTTATGACTTCTGTTTTGACAAGTCGCTCTCACCATTGTTCTGTGCACAGAGCTCTCAGAGGCAATTAGAACTCAAGACGCTGTTTGAATCTGGTTGCAATTAAGTGACAACAGTAAGTAGGCCCAACAACACTCTAGATCCTCCTTTCTGTGGTAGTTTCCCATTTCCAACATGGAGAGCGATGAATCCAGGACTCTAAAACACTGATGCTAACTGATACTTGTTTACTAACTGCCTAAGCTACTAAGAGTTTATAGAAATTATTTTATCTCCTGCAATGTTTTCTACATAAACCAACTGATCTGTTTTAAAGAGTTTAATGACCACAAGGAAAAGTTAATCATTAGACAATTAAATAATCAGATAAACAAATAGATGTATGCAAGATAATACACATCCAAGCCATTTATGTGTTGTTTTGATGATAGGTAAAAGGGCCTTCTGAATTAATGATAATGTTTATAGAACAAGTGGTTTTAGTCACACAGCAGAGATACCTACT